AACCCAGTGTCGATAGTTGGGATTTTGAGGCTTGTGAGGGCGAAATTGAAGATTGGACTGTCAATATGTACCGTTTGAGTGAAGATGAACAAGTTTTGGAGGATGTGGTTACTAAAACACTTGCCGTCATTGTTAATTGCGAAGAAGGTGAAAACAAACTTGATGATAACCAAAGGAAAATGGTACATGTACTGGCGCGCTGCTTTCCAGTGAGAAAATTGAACCTTGGTGTAGGCCGCCCCGATTTTATCGTTTATTCAGAATACTTGAAAGCCAACTGCACTCTGACAAATTTACTTTTGAGAACCAGTGAGGCTGACGAGCTTTTGTTAGCAACAGTTAGGGAGGCTCTGCACCATGAACAAAATTTAAAGCACTTAACTTTGGAGTGCGTTAATTTTGATTACATGGTCGTCAAGGGCACACTGGATATGGGAGATCGCTGCCCTGATTCACCTTCCGGTTGGCAGCCCAGTTACAGTCGTATTGAAAATATCAGTAAACGGGAATCATGGATGGTGGATGTCGGTTCCAAAGAACTTGCGTACCTGTTAAAGTTGTATCGTCGTTTAACTCGTTTGAATTTAAAGGGAGTCATGCTCGGTTGTAAAGGAGCCGCAGTACTCGTAGAGGTTTTTCACACTAATCCCAATTTGACACATTTAAGTCTTTTTAATGCGTCCATCAGTGATTTAGGAGCCATGTGCATCGCTAACGCTCTGCGATCAAATTGTTCTTTAACCCATCTTAGTCTAAGGGTAAATTATATCAGTGTTGTAGGAACCAGTTGGTTGGCAAATAGTCTAAAACGAAATTGTACTTTACAGTATCTGGATCTAAGTGATAATGTTGATAGTGATCCATTAGCTGTAGAGCTTGCTAGTGCTTTGGAATCTAATTCTTCTCTCACACACCTCGATTTAAGGCATATTTGTCCGGGCGATAAAAGATCCACTATTTCAGTGGATTCTGATAAAATCTCTCTCACCACTGTTCCCTGCAGATTAATTAGTGCCTTTGGCGCGTCGAAACTTAAAAGAGCCCTTCTTTTGAATCGTACGCTGACTTTTTTAGACCTTTCATTCAATGAGATCCGGGACGCGGGAGCTGCAGCGCTTGGAGAGGCCCTCCCAAGAAACTGCTCTTTGAGTCATTTATATCTATCTGGCAATGCGATAGGTGATTCTGGAACAGCATCCCTTGGAGAAGGTCTGAAATCAAACTGCACACTAACTCGATTATATCTGAGTGAAAATAGGATTACAGATCCTGGAGCAGAAGCTCTCGGAAAGGCAATGCAATCAAATCACAACCTGACCCATTTACATCTACACACTAACTATATTGGCGATTTAGGGGCAGCAGCCTTAGCAAGAGCACTGGAATCTACTGTTATTCAATTGACCCATTTAGATTTGACTTTCAATAAGATCAGCTGTGTGGGTGCAGAAGCCTTCGCGAAAGCCCTTGAGTCTAACAGTTCTCTCAAGGCTTTAGAGTTGGGAAGCAATGCGATCGGCTCTTCGGGAGCATCCTCGTTTGGAAAAGCACTTCGATCAAATCGTACTCTTACGCACTTGATTGTGAGCGGTAACAATATCACTGAATCTGGAGCCGTAGAATTGGTAGATGCTCTACTGATTAATAACAGTTTGATCTGTTTGAATGCGGAAGATAATCCGATTAGTTCGCTAGAGGCGGAGAACCTTAAACGGGATATCCAGTCGCATTGTGTTATTTTTATGTAGGGACTAAATGGGTAAATGACTACATGAAGAACTTTCTCCAGCATTGTATCTTGAAGCTCAAGCAAATTACCCGCGATGAGTCGTTGATCGGATGATGATGGTTACGTAGAACAAGAAAGATTTCAATGCTGAAGATTTCTTCCACTTTTTGTCCGCGCACTTTACTTGTTCTTGTATTTGCGCCACAATTATGGACAAAGAACTTTCCTCGTTTATTTAATTAGTCTTGTTGCCAGTTTGTAGATGCAACTAGATGCTCTTTGAAAAAAGGTTCAGCTTTTGTTTTGTTCTCTTCTTCTTTTTACAATCGAATAGAATCTAATAAAATATTCCTTGAGTTGGTAGCAAGGCGAAGATGTCAATGATAAATGTAAGCCACAATTAAAGAAGCGTGGTACTTTGGCTAAGTTTGTCAAGTTTAACATGGTCGTGACATTTTTACGACCAAGTTTTGTTGCTTATTTTCCCTCGTCTCTCCTGTTACGCTAATATGCGTAACTTAAGGGATTTGGTGTGAAATCTCGAAAGCTGCTGGGGGATTTGTCACCCTTTGGTGCAAAATAAGTTGTCATCATCCAGCAATGTTAGCGACAGTTTCAGTGCTAAGTCATCCAATATATAACTTTATAAAAAAGAAAAAAGGACTTTACATACGTATGCAGATTTAAAGGAGCTGTGCCACAAAATTTATTAAACTCCAAACAGTGGTAACTGCCACCAAATTTAGTGAGACATAAAAATAATCGCTCAAAACATGAAAAGAATGTATAAATAACAGCAAATACAAAAGGACAAAACTTGGAAGAAGATGAAACGGATTGTAACTGTGGTTTTTGAAAATTTATTAGCCCACCAGTTTTTCAAAGTTCATTCTTTTTATCTGTATTTTTTCATATAATGCTAAGGAGACATTTGTTCGACATAAAGTAGTAATTTTGTCATTTACAAGTAATTTCTTCGCTTAAGTTAAGTTTCTTTTTAAGTAAGGACGAGTGATTCCTAATATTAACAAAATGATCTTGACAGGCGTGGCACAGCCCCTTTAATACTGCACTAACAAATCAATAATAAGGAAAGGTACCGTGATCCGTAGAGATGGTCTAAACTGGACGTGCAAAGTCAAAGAGAACATTGACGGATCTAGGGAAGGGGCCCGAGCCCCCACTTTATATTTAGGCCAAACTGTAGCCTGCAAGGCTGAGAATGTTATTTTCGAGGCCGGATCCCTTTTCTTCTTAGGGTCTTGATGAGAGGGGCCCCCACTTGCTTCAAGATCTAGATCCGTACCCAGATCTCTCGTTGTCGGCTTCGTTAACACTGGGTACCAGATTGTCCGCCAATGTTTTGCTCTTTTAAGTCTTAAAAGACTTTTTAAAATATTTTAAACATTTTCTAGTTTATTTAGTAGAGTTTTGACTCCTTGATTTTACAAACTGTTATAATTTTTTTAAAATAATTGTTATAAATGTTACATTTTAGTGAATTTTTCCGCCCCTCCCATTTTCTAGGGGGAGAGCCTTAGGGAGGAGGTTGTTTTTATAATCTATATGCACAATGACTTATAATATTACTTTATCAGTACTATCATTATTCTTTTTGCATTGGTGTCTTCTTAGCTATCTTCTGTCCCCTAAAGGTTTCCTCTGATAGGCTGATATCAGGTAAATAAATTAACAGTTGTAAATAAAGTTGCAATGTTATGTTGTATAAAGATTGTATAAATGGGTTTAAACCACTATATATTTTGAACTACAGTGGAACGCACTTGTACCGATAGGTCAATGAGAGTATATTTAGCCTGCGTAGCCAGTGGTAGCTGTCGGTTTTTTATTGTTATTTTTTTTTCCATTTGTGGTTCGTAAAGTAAGAGATTCAAGCGCGCGAAAGCTGAACTGGCCGAGGACGAAACCCCCCCACCCCCACCCCAAAAATACAAAATACACCAAAAAAACAGCCAGGTACACAGGCTAGAGTATATTAGCCTACTCCAGGCGGTCAGATAGAGTAGCGCGAAATAAGAAGGAAAGAGAAAATAACAATAACAATAATAGTGCAATGAGTAGTAATAGTAATAATGATAATATTATTGTGATTGTAATAAAAAAAACGTAAGAGTGAGAGGAAGAGGCATTAAGTCAAGAGTATCTCGCACTACATCAAAAAGACCTTGGAGGTCTTCCCTTAGATCTACATTAATCTATGACTTTCTTTCCAACCTGTTGTTCCTTTCGCACGCATGCATAGTTTTTTAGTATCATGAAATATCTTCATTTCCCGACAATCCGTCAGCTTTCCTGCCATCTCGAGGTGGGAAGAGAACTTTATCACCTCTCTCCTTACTCCCCACCTTTCTCCCCGCTTTTCTTTTCTGTTCACTCCCATTTGCGCCGTCCCGCGGCGTGGAAAGGGGTACTGAGGGGATTAGTAGGAAGGGCAAAAGGCATGGAGATTACCCCTCCCCTTTTTGCGCCTGCCACACAGGCTAGAAACAGACCAGTATGAGTCAGCTGTTCTCTATAGTCTTTCTCCAGGAACTTCACATTAATGGCCGTATTTATACTAGCTACAGGACTGCCAAAACGTCCAGAGGGGTTTAAAGTCTGGATGTAAAAGTGTACATGTACTAGACGGGTATTCACATTTTAGTGTAAACGTTTGAGAGATCTAAGATGTTTCTCATCCATCGATCGTCAAACTCCGCTTTACGGAGACTCGCTAAATATGGACACCTCATTATTACGGACAGTTTTCTTTGTCCCTAGGGAAAGAAGCCCTTACATTTTCTCTAAATTTAACCCGTTTTATACGGACACCTACCTCGTTAATAGGGACAATTTTTACAGCTCCCTCAGTGTCCTTATTAAAGAGGTTTGACTGTATATCGACTAGACGCATGTACTTGAGACGTAAAAGCGTCGGCTTTATTTTATATTTTTACACTAGTCCGGTGTAAAGATATAAAATAAGGCCGACCCTTTTATGTCCTCTAGTTTGAATTCGGCGAATATCTGCTTTCCGGAATGTTCGCTGGCGGGCTGATCAGCGCTTGAAGTGTTGAAGAGAGGCAAGGGATAAACTTGATGTAACAAGACATGCATCTGTATTTAACTAGCAAACCCGAGTCATCCGCAAGGCCCACGTTATTTCCAGCTGCCTTATTCCCGTCACTAAAGCTAAACTAAAGACGTTAACGACTTCAAAACAACAATGGCGGTTTTTTTTTAGGAAAACAGTGTTCATTGTTAAAAACCTGAAACTAATCGCGCCCGGGTGACTGGTTTCCGCGTTTTCTGCCAGTTTTTTTATCTGTGACTTGAAAGAAAAAAGAACATCAGAGCGAAGTGACAGATATTTCTTTAAAAAGTAGGAAAAAATCCACCGTTATTTTGTATGTTAATTAGAGTACCGCTTTTCAAGAATTCTAGTTTTCCAGCCAACTCGTGAGGAACCAATTTCGGGTCTGAAAATGAACATTGAGGGGAGTCTCCTTCAAGCATTCATTGGCAGATTAGTCGGCGTCATTTTGTGAAGACTGCCATTTTGTACGCAACTGAGAAACGATCATCGTCTCCCCCACGCCTTTGAGAGGAAAAAGAAAAAGTTACCAGTCACGCCTACTCTGGCCATCTTCTCGTACCTATAAGGGGTAAGGGAATAGTTTCTAAATGCAATCAGTTTGAAGCTCATAAATACCGCCGGCCAACCTCCATTTGCTGTAGACGCAGCTTTATAAAGTGAATTTAGGTTATGTTCACTCTATACCGGATAGCATTTCGTGCCGACACGAAATTAAAAATAATAATAATAATAATTATTATTATTATTATTAGTCGGGACTGTAGTATGAACACCTATCCGAAATGTGGCCCTCCACTTTAGAGATCGGCACGGCGTAGCCTCGCTCCTTTGCAGAAATTGCGTCGAAATCACCGCTCTCATGTTCGAACAGAAGCCTTATCTGGCATGGTTTTCGTACCGACGCAAAAGCTATCCGGGATAATGTGAACATAGCCTTCTTCTTGTGACTTTTTAGTTTGGGACGTTAGTTCTTCTTTTTGCATTACTGTGAAACATGTTCATTGCAACTGATGTTACATTATTAATCAGTTTTTTGCACAATTTGTATTGCAACAAAATTAGGAGACAACCGGCGAGACCCAGGGCGCTTTCCATTCGACCAAAAATTCCGGAACGAAATTTCGAGTATTCCATGTGGCGAATGGAACAGTATTTTCCGGTTGGTTTGAACCAAACCGTCCCAGTCCATCACGTACCAATTTTCGCGCGAAAATACGAAAAACAGGGGAATCAAAAATGGCGGACTCTTTGTCTATTTTACTTGCTTTAGAGTTGCTCGACGACTATGAAGTTGAAATAAGCGAAGTATTGGACGAGGACGACGACATAACGCTGTTCAGTGTGGGTAGCTCCTACATGCGTAGGAATTTAAACCGAGTCCGCGACTACTTTGAGGGCACTATACCTCTCTATTTTCCTGACGAGTTTAAGGGTCACTTCAGAATGACAAGGCATTGCGAGTAGCTTATATGCATTTTCGCACTACTTACGAAAGTTTGCCGTGGCTCCGGTGCAAAAGTGGTGCAAAAGAACATTCAAGTCATCTGTCGCATAATAACAAGCGGAACACTGATATTGAGCAGAAGAATTGGAAGCCATGTTGAGTTCGATTTCCGGGCTCTGAGAAACTGGGCGCGAGCAGGAATGGTCGAATGGAACAGAATTTTCCGGTTATTCCGACTTTCCGGAATTTTAGGCCAACCTCGCGAGGTACACCCAAAATTTCGGAATGAAATTCCGGAAAATGTCTGTTCCATTCGCTCCCAAACCCGGAATTTCCGGAATTTTTGGTCGAATGGAAAGCGCCCCCAGACTACGATTTACTCTCAGCGGTAGCACGCGTGTGAGGGGCGAGAAATGGACCAACCTCGTCCCCAGGGTCTTCTCGCTTTCCAATATGGCGGCGGCAGGAGAGAAGACCC